GAAAGCTGGCACACTACCTTTAAGAGAGCTATCGAATGCGTTTTTCCACAGCGTTCTAGCTCTATCCTTTTCTGAGCTATAGGCCAGTTTGTCGAAAATTGTCAAAGGTTGACCTGGAAATTGGCGAAATTTTACGTTCGATGACCTCTGGTGAGTTGACCTTTGACTTGACCTAAAAAGTGACCACAGTTTTCCTTCATCATTTCTTACTCTCTTTCGAACGCCGACTACGGCGTTTCGCTAGTGACCCAGGAGCCAAGTTAGTAGGGACTAGGGGGTGTTCAACCTCCACCTCCAGCAGGGCGTGGATACCCAGTAGCCCCATCGGGGCGCGGGTTAACCCCCATACGCATAGGGGTAGCGGGTATTTTTCGGAATAGATCACGTTAAAAGGGTCGGATCACGAAAAACTGTACCCTCGAGCCGATCATCTTTATCTGTCCTGAAAATGGCATGACCTTAACCCGAATAACCGTTGATTTGGGAGATCTCTCTTGAGATCATGGCAGGCCACAAAATCTCACTTCAAGAAGTTACAGCAAGAGCCGATTACTCGGGACTTGTCATTGACCTCTGGAAGGTCACCAAATGACCAAAAACCTTTCAATTGGGTAGCAGCGGCTGCCTATCTTCATGGGCAGCACGCTCAATTTTTCTGCAAAGCTCCATTTCAGAGGCCGAGATGCTTGGGTCAGGGTGCAATGGACAACTCCTCTCTCTTGCATTAGTGACTGTGAAAACGCCAATAGGCGAGCGCCAGTTAATACATGACAGTTACCTTTGCGCGACTGTACGGAATGGTGAGCAGCTATGTACATGAAAATTGGCATGCGCCAGCTAATCAGTTCATGTTTTGTTCGTTTGCCCTCGACTAATCTTTGAATCCTGGGGCACAACAGTTGCGATATCTGTCCCATCAAGGGAGCCATTAATTCTAAAAAAGATGAGGCTTTCTCAGAGGCCCTCATTACCCCCCGCCGAAGGCCGCCATTACCCCCAAAGGGGGCATGCCCCACCATTTGCCGACCCCTGTTGTACATCAACCGGGCCTGCCTATTGACTAGGGCCGGTCTCCGGCTGGTTTTGTTAGGTCTAGTTTCAGGCAGAACATGAACGGCGTTGATGTACCTACTTGGGAGTTTTTACAGCGTTAACTAAACAATGATTTATGCTATAGCCGAGTCTGCAACTCAACCTGGTCGTTACTCAGCATTGTCGTCATCACAGAGCTTCAAATCGATCAGCTACAGGCTGAACACGTACCTATAGGGTATAGGAAGACGTCCAAAAACTGTTGGCCATAGTATCTGTAGTGGGATCTACGTTCCATGCTGGTCAGGCATTTTGCAAAATGCCTAGTCATTTTGTAAAATGGCTAGCCATTTTGAAAAAAGCCTGGTTGCGTTCAGTCATTTTTCAAACAGCCGTCTTTTTGTAAAATGCCTAGGCATTTTACAAAATGACTGATTTTCTAAAGTGCCTGCAACATATATATCCTCTGTCCTTGCGGGATCATGCTGCCAAGTTGAGGTGCGATGACTGAACTTCAGGATTGATCAACCTTTTCTTAGCCACTGCTTATATACGAGAAAGACCAAATGCTTGTTTGTAAACTGCGTTGAAAATTTAATGTTCCATCTCCAATTCTGACATGAAGGCACAAATGAAATAGTTCCCTCCCCTTTTGGAATACACAAAGCAAAATATTTAATAAATTTTAGTGGATGGACAAGAGCAATTAGCATAGCTTTCCCTCAAGTTAACTTCTGGCCTGCTTCTGTGGCACTGATAAATTACACTGACGCTTATTCGCGTCATATTTTGTAACAAACGCGCTAGAACTGCAATATAACAGCACTATATGCTTCTTGACAAAATACAATAGTAGTAAAAATTTAGCCCTGATGGCATTCATTCTTGGTGGAAACGTAATTACAAAATATTTTGTAGTAAGTGTTAAATTTCGGCCGAAAACAGTGCACGGTTTAAGAAAGAATCATTCCAATGACGGTCCATTCTTGCGGTCCTGAAATCGCCACTATTTCCGGCCTCTCCAACGCAACTCGTTGTCCAGACGTAAATATGCGACAGAGCCACCGCTAAGCGAAGCTTGTTGCGGTGACCCTGCCGTCTTATATACGAGTCTACCCTCCGATCGCGCAATTCCAGTTCTATGGCAGAATTTAGGGTGCGTTCTTTGCACGGAAATTTCACGGCTCAGTCAGCTGATGCGTTCTTTGCCGACAGACCGGGAATTTCACGGCGCAATTGTCGCACAGGCTTCATAAATGTAATATGCCCAGATTTGTGAAACATGCATTGAACTTAGCGTTGTTTGTATTGTCGGTAAGTCACATGATGCATCTTAAGTGATGAGAGGCAGATGGAGTTTTTATAGAAAAGTCTCTGGTGTGCATACAGCTTGTAAGAATACCTACCGGTTAATATTTCCACACCAGTTCGCTGGTTAGTAACAGCGGAAACAATCGCTAAAAAGTTTTTGGTAAAAACGGTAACATTTTAGTAACATTCCGCAAAACCAGTCCATATCATACGCATACATTCACATTCCCTCCTCCACTGGGCGTCGCCATCTAAAAAAAAAGCGCTCGGGACAAGCTTTTTCGATTCCCGTATTTCACGTGGAATTCCGCGGGATTTCACGTGAAATTCCGCGTGGAATCGGCAAAGAACGGCTTGATTTCCGATTCCACGTGAAATTTCACGTGAAATCTGTTCAAAGAACTCACCCCTAGAGTCCAAAGTTTAACGTGCGCACATAGCCGCGTACCGCCGGTCCCCTCAATGACTTCGCCTGAGCCCTGTTCGGGCAGCGCATCCTACTGCAAAATTTTGCACCACGCATGCGCAGTAGGGGTCTCTCGGGTGCCAGGCTCCGCCCTTCGGCGTATGACGTCACATGTGTGACGTCGGCACGCGCAAAATCTTTCAGTTTTGCGCAACAAGAAAATAGGAGCTGCAGGAGGCGAAAGTGGCGCGAATTAAAGTTTACCGTCCTATATTTCTTATTGTAAGCGGTTTGAATGCCGTTTTTTGGGTATCATTATCACTTTTTTCAGTGGCACATTGCTATTAACCACATTTGAACGCATTTTATTCAGTTTTTGAACGAAAACCACCAGTACATCCGCGCCACGGTTCGTCACGCGTCGAATAATGGCTGCCGCGGCCCTCGGCTCTGGCGGCCCGGCGGAGAGTGGACGGAGCCAGTGGCTGACATCATCACATGTGTGACTTCACACTCAGCAAAATATTTTGCGCGGACCCGAACAGGGCTCTGGCTACGGCCTGCCACCAACCGCAACCATACCTGTCAGGAGGCCCATAAATGTCGAGCGCCCGTCGCGCTTCGAACCCGGACTGTTATAACCGGGAACGCGTGCTCTCACCACGCGGAGTCCAACGCTCTACCAAGTACCAACCGAGATACGGGACCGGGACCGGGACCACACATTGCGCGAAGCTGTGAAAAAGGTTTTCTAGAGCAAGAGTCCTGATTTAGCCGCGACGTCATCAGGTACCGTAGCTCCGGATCAGGCTGGCACGGTCCGCCGACATCAAAACAACGGTGCGTCAGCTGATTATTGGTCCTCCGATTCAGGAGAAATTATTAACGCGGGAACGCCGGCGCTAAATAAAGGCGGTAGGATTCACGGCTTTGCATGATCGTGTGCAATATTTTTTATAGTATCAAGCGAGGGGTATTACTGGAGTTTTGCAAATAAATATTTTTTCTCAGTTTGGCTATGCGATCGTGAACACTTTATTTTCATAGATACGATATGAAATAGGATAAACAGGCCAACCCAAGGCCATGTATGCCAACCTTAGACTTCGCATAGCCATGGACATTGCGTAGTAAGATACTCGCAGATCGTACCACGATACCACGGGCAAGATATCAGACTTTTGGGAGTTTTGTGTCGCTGAAATGTATTTTAAGTGCTAAGAAGGAAAATAATTCAATTTAATGATGTCATGTACAATGGACATTTAGCCATTCCAAGCATATAGGTATAGTTTGCCTGGCTTCGACAACCAGATAGCCAGGTTTATTTCAAGAGCTTCTAAAGAGGTAGTGGATTTAATATCGTTTCTATTACATTTATTTGATAATCCTACATATCAGTAAACCTGCCACGTTATCATTCTCGTCGAGCGTCCGATGGTTTACGATAAGAATTATAACAATAGTTTTAAACTAGCGCTTTTTAGAACCATGGTCCGAAATGGTAATTCAAAGAACCACTTCCCCTTTCAACTCACCTGAAAAAGCTGCTTTCGTGTACCACCCAGCACCCGTTTCGTAGATGTATCAAAATGATAACCGGAGGCGAAGATTATCTTTATGATACCACGATTTGTGGGGCTGACTAGTACCGACGGGGATCCCACGAACACGACGGTCACATTCATTAAGCATGATGTACGGCGTAAAGCACCACAACTCACCCCAAAAGCGCAACCTTCTGAGATATCTTATATTTAGTTTCAATGCTGGTACTGGTGCAGTTTCAATGCTGGTACTCTGCTCATTTCTGCTCAATAGTTATTTCTCGCTTAAATGCGCCTCACATTAATCGTGTGCTGTGCTCCACAATCATTGCGCCGCGCGCTCTTCCTTCTTATCGGCCCCCTTGAGATCGTATCCACCAATATCTATTTGCTTCTAAGTTCTAATGACTTGTAGAGAAACAATTTTAGAGCGTTTAACAAAATAATTGCATAACCTATGAGCGATGGGAAAAGCCCAATCGTCCAACTCATAAAAAAACATTGGGACACAAACAACTGGAAACTGTTGGTAGTTGGTACTTTCGCGCATAGGCGGCGAAACGGAGAGGGCACCGGGGCACCGTGCCCCCCTTTGATTTTGGCATTTTAACATGGGCTCTATGGGCGTTACATGGAAAGAATGGGACCAAAAGTCGGCAGTGCCCCCCCCCCCTTCCCCAGTTGAGCTGGGCGCAGGGACTAAATAGCATCAAAGGAAATCCTATATTCATCTCGCCGCATTTAAGCGCACCAATCGAAAGACGACAGCGTGACCGCGCTGACAGGCAATCAACCTGGCCACATAAAACTAGCTAGTGCAAGGAAGATGTCTATATAAACCACTGGACCATGCAAAGCGTTCATGTAAATAAAATATGAGTAAAGATGACCCGTTTGAGAGCAGATTGGCCAAACAGGGGGGCTTTGGAGCCCCAACAGACGGTCGGGTCAAGGTCACCGCTGAGGCGGCGGCGGATTTGCTGCGCCCGGGCAGTGGGCACCCTCAATTCGGTGAAAATCGACACCCTTGCAGCTCAACATGACAAAACGCTGCATACAAGCGCACGTCCTCGCATTTAATTGACGCATTTAACTGCGTCACTAACCTCGTACACTGTACAACACTGGTGAGATGACTGTCCGAAGGAAACTGCCGACTTTGGCTGGCAACATTCAGGGTTGGTGACTTATGTACTGGGTTCGGCTGGCTGACAGCGATGTGACTTCAGGACCGGTTGATGAACGGGCCATCCTAGCCCCATACTACAGGAGCCCAGCTGGTCTTGGCGAGCGGCGGCGACTGGACGAGGCTGGACCCCTACTACAGGAGCCCAGCTGGTGCTGACGAGCGGCGGTTACTGGACGAACGGGTCAGCCTGGACCCCTATTGCAGGAGTCCGGCTGGTCTTGGCGAGCGGCGACGACTGGACGAGGCTGGACTCCTACTGCAGGAGTCGAGCTGGTCCTGTCGAGGAAATAGTTCACCTTTAACATGGGATTTTAAACTGAGATAGCAGTCTGATAGAGCAGATTTGTGTATGCCCTATATTTGAACCGTTTGAGATATTCACCTTTTATCAGTGAATATTGGTGCTTAAATTCATGTTCTAGTGCTCATTTACAGCAAGCAGAAACCTCTTCAACACACACAGTGGCCAATCAGCGATGAGAGCACTTACAGGAGCAGAATCCCTTGCAGCTGATAGGTTGTTCAACTGTTAGTGTTCATAACTCTAATCATTAAAATAATGAAATCCCTTTAGAAGAAGTGTGTAATTCCAAGTTAGAATACATTTAAATTTTGTTCATCACATTTTAACACATCTTTTTGAATTTTATTAATCAAATTACTCACAGAAGGTGAACTATTTCTTTTAACACTTACCTTGCTTCAATGGTGACATGTAGCTCTTGCAGCAGAGAAGGCACAGCATTTGGCTGCAACTTCAAATATTGACTTGTTGCTATCAATTATTCAGTTTTGAAATGCATACAGGTACAGTGAATCTTGGGTTCCCCTGTAAGAATGCCGACTGCAGAAGCAGAAGTTCATCCAAAGCTTGCGCCTGAAAAAGGGCCAGGTTTAATATATGAGTGAAATGAAGACTTTTGAATCATTTTATCATTATACCATAATCACATTTTTACCTAATTTGTAAGAAATAGGTTTAGGTTAGCAGAAATAGGTAAGGTTTTGACTAGACCCCCTGGGTCACAACAGGAGATGACCCTCGTGACTGGTGGGACCACCAGGCACCAGCACTGGCACAGTCCGTTCTGACCACCGCACACCTATCAGCCCGAGAGCACACTAAATTGCATGTTAAAGCTCCATTAATGCTTTTTTCAATTTTGGCCATCCATTTTGTTGGGTCCGTCATGTCCATCACCAAGCCACATTTAAAATGCACTACACTACATCCCCCACCACCTGACCACACCAGGCCAGATCCGCACCGCGCTACACAAAATCCGCACTGCATCAAGCTAAATCCATGCCACACCAAAGCCTCACCAGCCGGACAAGCCAGCACAGACAAGATCTTGTCGAAATTGCCATGCTTTGCAGAGTGCATACTGGCCTACCTGAACCTGACCTTACCCAACATATGAGCCTGACTGTCCTTAGCACTGGGAGCTCATTGAGACCAGGCCCCACAGGCCTAGTGGCCTCCTGAAACCTGATTTCCATATGGGGTGAGCTATTTAAGAATGGTGATCGGATACCGAACCCGAGACAAGACAGCAATGAGCAGTGGGCGGTTCATGCAACCATAATCATGTTTCCTTACCACAAGTATCAAAGCAAAAACAAAAATAGCTGCCTATCGAATTGAAATTTCACTGGAACCTCACCTGCATGGATCTTAAGTGAAAGGTACCTACATCTTGATACATCTGCACGAAAGATACATCTTGATCCACTCATCTCAATCTTGTTTTTCTGCATCCAGGGCATGCAACATTTCTGGTCAAGGCCGTATATAGGATATCGCTTCTGGTATTTTTGGCACAACTTACTCGACTGCTGAGCTCAAATGCAAACTGCAATCACGGTCATAAAATACCTACTGAATATTGAATCGCAATGTATATTCAGTCGATGTACCCCTCGTTCGATGTCTCTCAGACGACGAAGATTGTACGGGGCTCGGCTGCAATTATGGAATGTGATTGGCCAAACGGCGTAGAAGCTTTGTCGTCCGAGAGACATCGAACAAAAGTAATGTCGCTACTGCGCCATTTGTTGCATCGAATTCGCCCCATAGAAGCACGTGTTAATTCTCTCCCATAGGGCCCTGGGTAAACTCTCTCCATAGGGTCCTGGGTAAACTCTCCCCTTGTCTATTTTCTTTAAACGGGGATAGTTTGGACAACAAAATATTTTCGACCTCATTAAAAATAAAAATTAATTTTTGATGTACCTCATTGATGCAAAACATCAGAAAAACATTAGAAATTAAGTCAAAGAAACCGATTGTTTATAAATGGACAGCTGACGGCATGCCTCCCGTGTCCCCTGGCTTGAAGCTTCGGCTCCGTGTTACCTTAGTATTCTATGACCGTGGCTCCGGATGTCGCTGCCGAAGATCGCCATTAGAGACCACGGAGGGATGAAGTACTTCTGATTACGCCGTGCTGAAAGGGCAGCATGACCATATCTGGTGCGACAACATGAGCCCAGAGCTAGGTTCAGCAGAGCAGTCCACTAACCGGTGACTAAGCGGCTGGGGCTGGCACTGAAACACGGCAGTAGGTACCTCTACACTTCATTTTGTCTTGATAGACAACAATGTTATATATAAGATACCTTGTTCTGGACCATGTTCAAAATCATATGTCGGTGAAACGGGGAGGGGTTTGAAAACACGACTTCAAGAGCACAAACGTGATGTTCGAAATCATAATGTATCCAATGCGATGGTGCTTCATATAGAAAAGTGTCATCATATTACAGCTTGGGATTCAGCTACAGTGATGGAAAAGGGCATGCCAAAACCGATTAGGAGAGCCATGGAAGCTGCATATATTTTACTTGAAGACACCGTTAACATAAAGCCAGGCTTCTACAGCTGGTCCAGGATAGGTGCGAAAATGGTGCTAAAAAACAAATAGCTATATCTATACATAGGAGTGTCTCTGCTATAATGGGTCAATGTGTCGATTCCAATGCTGTGATTATGACTTACAGAATAGTTTAGACAGAAGAACGATATAACATTTAAGTGCGAGATTAGATATAACCTGTATTTCAAAAAAGTAAAACTGTATTTCGTGCAGGCTGGTCGTCTTCTATATTTTTATCGATGTAAAGCCTATATCTTGTTTTTCCACTGACGAAGGCACTTTGTTGTCGAAACGTCTGGTCTTATTACATTGTTTTTGTACCTATTGTCATTGTCTGTGAGAAAAACGAAATGTCTGACTCTTCTAATTTGTCTTGATATGCCAGCGTAAAATGCAGATCGGCTGCGGAGATGCGTCTATTTACATGCTCACACCTAGCACCACATAAAAGGCAGAAAACAAGATCTTCAAACAACTGATATTTTCCTTCGCGAGCATCCTTTGAAATAGGCACCTTTCTATCCATATAAAAGGATCGTTCGTGCGACCCAACAGACATGTGCTTGGATCCGGAAAAATGGATCTGAGATCCGATCCCATGGATCCCGATCCGAGATCCATTCAGATCATAGATCCAACCCCTCAATTTTGTCGAGAGATCTACTGGGATCATAGATCTGACCCTTCAATTTTGTCGCTAGATCCACTCGGATCATTGATCTGGCTCCCCAATTTTGTCGTGAGATCCATTGGGATCATAGCTCATAGGTGCTCAAAATGTTAACAACTTTCTTTCATAAGAAGTTATGAATACCAAAGTATGGTTAGAAACAAACAATCTTATACAAAGGCCATATTAGTAAAGGCATCCAGTTACATTATACAGAATACAAAATAAAGGCGGCTCATGACAGTCACAACTTGAGAGAATTGAGGGACATGCAGATTGTTCACAGTTCACATACCAAAAGAAAAGTTTGCATTAACAATTAACATAGAGGTAAGTCAAAGTAATGACTAATGAACAATACATAACTAGGTACCTACCACATCACAATTCATGTTAGAATCTACATAATGATATTGATAAGACAATTCTTGCATTAGACAACCATGAGGCTTTCCAGTTTCCAGCTACCACAATTGATTGATAAACAATAAAAGATGATACTGACACATGTGGCTTGGTTAGGTAAAGGTATTTCAATCTATTGAAAGAAATATTTGATAAAATAAACTGAGATATAAACAAAAGTATAAAAATATTCAACAGCCTGCGGAAGCGATGGGAAGCGAAATAATGGCCTTGGATATTTACCGTAAAATGATTATTTAGTATCTAAATAGAGCTCGTGACGTCATTTCAAATAACAAATGAGCTAGGCGTTCTACTACCTTCGAGTATAATGAAAACAAATAAAAAAATCAGACTGGAAATTCAAAATTCTGGAGTTTTTTTAAACAATGTTCATTTTTTTCTGCCTCACATAATTTTACGATACGATTGTTTGTGAATATCATCTTTGTACCGTTGAATTTATTGACGTAAACGTAAGCTGAAACGGTATTACATGGCCTTGAGCGGTGTGCGCCTTGCATCTTTATTTTATTCACTTTTCAAAAGAATAACAATATCTTACGTCATTAGTTTCAAGGGCTTATTACGGGGAATCTTTTGGAATCGTCACGGTTTTGGTCAAATTAAGACTTTTCATTGGTCAAACGATAATGACGTAATAAAACCATATTACCAAAACGTGAGCTGTGAATTTCGTTTGTCTTTTTTGGGAGGCTCTCTCATAACAAAAGCACAGCATGGCACCACATGTGTGGCACGATGCCAAAAGTAGGTAATCTGAAGAAGTTGATGCCATTTTTGAACTTGTAATTTTGTTAGGAAAGTATTAGAGGTTGGTTGCTATTCTTACTAAATCGAAATTGTGTTGCACATACTAATAGCTCATATGAACATTCTGGATTGGGATTTCATACCTGGCAGAAGTGGATTGCTGGATTATTTTTAACAAAACTGACCTATTGGCTTCCAGGTTTGATTTCCTTACATCTGTCCATAGGCGGCAGAACAGGGGGGGGGGGGATGGCACCAGGGTACAGTGCCTCCCATAGATTTTGGCATTTTAACATTAGCCCTACTGGCGTTGCATGGAAAGAATGGGACCAAAATGAAAATCTGTAGTGCCCTGCTGCCACTGCATCTGTCTGTACTGTTTGTTCATTGAATTAAAGTGGCTGTAGCTTGTTGATAAGATTGTCATCAGTGCTGTCATGAAAAAGTTACAATTGGTCACAAAAAGTAGCAATATGCATGTTCTTGGTTTATTTTAGATGTAGGACAAATGTTGTTTATTTAAATTCAAATTTAATGATGATACCTAATGATAACAAGTGGTCTTAACTAATAACCATGTCCACAAGTGATAATTCTCAATTGTATTGCACTGTAAGGTGTACAATTATGTAGGATAAGGGTTTCATTGGCTACATGTTGTCGTGAGATCCATACAGATCATAGGTCCTCCACAAATTTTTGCCCGCTGGATCCACAGAGATCATAGATCCGATCCCTAAATTTTGTCGAGAGATCCATTCAGATCATAGATCCAACCCCTGAATTTTGTCGAGAGATCCACTCAGATCATAGATCCAACCCCTCTATTTTGTCGAGAGATCCACTGAGATCATAGATCCAGCTCTCGGATCCAAGCACATGTCTGCGACCCAACGACTTGTTACGCAGCTGCAATGCACCGTGTTGTAAACCAGGTTAATAACACGGTCGGAATCACGGTGTTCTCTAGTCTCTACTTCATGCTACAGGCTACAGCCGCATTTGCAGGCGGTTGTGCTGCAGTGCACGTCACACCAGGTTTTGTGCAGCTGCATCGTCTGGCGCAGGCCTTCCTGCATTTACATACAAAGGACGTTCTTGGCGAGGCAGCTTGGCTGTGGTAGGAGCCTGGTGAGGACAGGCTTCAAGCTCCCATCGATGGCGGCGGCAGAGAGTGGCGTCCCAGCGGCTGCTTTCGGGACAACCTACTGGCCTGTTCCTGGCCTCCCTCATGCAGGCTTGCATGGCGTACAGGGCGGCGTCCTGGTTCGATTGCACCTCAGAGGTGATCCGGTAGGCGCAGCGCTCGGGAACCCAATCAAAGGGCGCGCGACTGTTCATGGCGTCAAACCACTTGTTCACCGTGCTGACCACCAGCGCTTGCTCCTATCTGCCGGGTACCCGAGTCGCCAAGGCCGTCGCCGCAGAGTTCGAGAAGGAACGCGTAGCCAAGTAGGTACAATGAAAATGATTGAATCCCTTTGCTGGCTTAAAAACCCCATATTAAACCCCGCCCCGGTTTGATTTTCCCTATTCAAATATGACAACACTTTTTCAGTCCCTTTCAAGAGTTTCTGACAAAACCGCTTAGGTAAACCATAAGCAGACTTATCTTAAACCATTTAAACCCCATAAACAAGACCAAGAAAAGGCCTTCACCTTAACATAAAAGGTTTGCACCTAAACCCATGTAACCCAGTCACGAATCTCTAAAACCCAAAAAAGGTTTTCCTTAAAACCGTTACCAGCGTGATAAACCTTCGTTTCAGTCTACACCGTAAACCTCCGCCGGGTATATTAACCCGCGCCCCAGTGTCAGTCTGGATTTTCCACGACCTGGTGTGGGGGGGGGGGGTGTTGAACACAACCTTCTAACTCGGCTCCTGGGCCACGTAGCGACACGCGGTAAGCGGCACTCGAAAGAACGTCAAAAATAAGGACGAAAATACTTAGGTCATTTTTTGGGTCAGGTCAAAGGTCAGGTCACCAAAGGTAAAATGTTGACTATTTCAACATTTTGGAAACTGCCAACGGCTATCTCGGGAACCGATAGAGCTACAGCGCCGCAGAAAAGCGCATTCGATAGCCATTTTACAGACCTTTCTGAGTAATGTTCTCAGATTTGACCTCAGGTCAACGGTTTACCCTCCAGAGGGCAAAAACTCCAAATATAGCCGTTTTTACGAAAATCGGTTTTTCGGCGATAACTTTTGACTCAAAAGAGCCATGACATTACTTTTGCCAGCATCGTGTTCCTCTCGTCGAGACGCGTCGAATGAACTATAATTTGACCTTGAAAGGTCAACTTGAAAATTTGACCTCAGGTCAAGGTCATGACCTGACCGGAAAAGGTCATGTTGCATATCAGTCGATCCGCAACGTCGAGCCGAACACATCTAAGGCGTTTTCAGCGCTCTAGCACGCCTCTATCAGAAGTTATTAGCGAAAAACTTCGATTCTGTTCGTGACCTGAGATGACCTCGGGGACATAACGAGGGGTCACAGTTGCCATTTTCCGGTTCAGTGTGTCAATTTTACCTACATCTCGATGTTTGAGAGTGTCTAGAATAGCGTTCGTGCAAAACAGACGCTTTTCAATTTTCTCCCATTGACTTATAATGGCGAGGCCGCAAAATTGGCCTGACCTTAGGTCACCGATATCAAAATTCCGAGATATACATTTTATAGATACTGTTACCCTCATCAATCGCTGAAAGTTTCAAAGTGATGGGTCACTCGGCTTTTTTCTGCGAAAAACCACAGGGGGGTGTTCAAACACCTCCCCCCCCCCCCACACACACACTTGGGCGCGGGTTTAAACGCGTTACAGGTTTCCAAAATTTATTTGGTTAACCCAAACAAACAAAACAAACAACGCGAACAAGGCTCGGCGCGGCGGACAGACCCCGCCGCCCGCTGAGACTGGGTCCGCCCCTGCTCCCACCGACTTACATTTACGGGCGCTTCCGGGATGGGCCGACCGAAAAAAAAACTCGAACCAGCTACTAGCCTTAAACTGACAGCACGCGGTGCGCCTGTCCAATGCGCGCGACCTCGGTCACAGCGGAGCGCCGACCGCCACTACAGGTCCAAATAAGCCCTAAGGCTATCCACCTTCTTCAGCACCGAACGGGTGGCCCGCTCAGTCACCCCCAGCAGAAGGAGCTGCAGCAGTTCGAACAGTGTCGCCCGGTCGCCCCTCAGCTCCGCCTGGCAGAGGACGGTACGCACCAGGGGCGTGTCGTGCCGGAATTCCCCATGTATTATTGGCCAATGAGCTTTGCATTAGCTGTGACGTCACTGGTGGAAGCGTCGGCCGCCCAATCAGAACCGAACTGTGTGGCTTGTCCTTGAAAACTGAGGTTTGTTTTGATTGGTTTTGCAGCGGTTTCGGGTCGTCGATGTGTGCGCGAATTTCATATTCTGTAGATTTTTATCTTGTGTATGTGAGTGGAATGCTCGGTAGGTATTTAAAGGCCTGTTAGATTCTTAGTTCTTTATGAAAGTATGTCAAGACACATTTGTTTCTGTCCTCGTTGTCCTTACCCTCATTCTTGTTCTGGACACACGGAATCGTTTTGTTTTGTTGCATACCTATCAATATGAATATATGATTGCCTGGCGCATCAGCTTCTAAGATAGGTACATTAAAAGATTTTTATTCTTGTAGGCCCTAGCCTATCTGGTATTAGTAGAGCAGAGTGCAGACGTCACATAAAGGTTTTCCAATTTCCAACCAAGGAGAGGCGCCATTCCCGGAGGTGCTTCTTTCTAGGAAAACCTAAACAAACCGGCTTAAGAAGATCACTTAGCCTGTGGATACTGCACTGTCTTGTCATCAAGTTTGTGAGGATGTAGGTATGTAGTTACCTTCCTAAATGCCAGAAGACTGTTCATGCAATGGACTGCAACAACTACCAGATCAGGACAAGGATAGCGCACTGATGACAACTGTGGACGCTTGAGCCCAATGAGGCCATCCGCCCTGACCCAACAAGTACCTGCAAGCCTGCAAGCAAGGGCTGTTCCAGGGCACTAAAGAGTCGGGTACTCCAAAGTTTTTCCTAGTATATACTAGAATTATACTATATCATCTAGAAATACAACTAGAACTGGGAGCTTTTTACTACATACCGAAAATTATCCTAGGATATGGCTGCGCTGAAGCGCGGCGCAGCTGGCGCTCGTGTTTCAATACATTGCGCTTCATATTTATACACAAGGCGGCTTGTGGTTTCACGCGGTTCCATGGTGTTCTCCCTTCATTTAAAGACTTACAAATTGTGCTGGCTAAGTATCTAAGTATTTAATAACTATCGTGTGCATTAAAAAAATTGGCTCTTCATTATGCATGGAATTGTGTGAACAAAGGCCTTTCTGAGTAACTGTGTGCAAATTTGCAAACTGCTGTACTTGACTGGGTGGTGGGCCAGCCTCATGCTTTCTCATTCTTTCACTGTTGCGTTACAATGTGTTGAAAAGAAGTTCCAAGGAATTTTATAGATTGTGATGCATGGCGACACCTTTCGACTTAGCTGTGAGCATATTTGGTATAATTGTATTGCAAAGATTGCGTACACCGGCTTAATCTATTTGCAATGGCAGCTTTCGTACGACATTTGTGTATTGTCTTTTCTATGTTGGTCACTACTCGTTTGTATGTATTTTTAGAGCCCTGACAGGCTGATGAAGGAAGACTGAAGTCTTCTGAAAGCTATCATTACTAAGAAATGAAGCTGGTGTTATGACTCATGAACAGTGAACAGTGTCCCAAAATTTTATTTCAGAGTGAAAAATTGTTCTTGAAAATTGGAGATGAAAGTGGAAAATTGATTTCAGTTGGATATCATTCCCCACCCAAAACTGGCAAATTTTGGGACAATGGTTTTGAACAAACTTAACAATACAATATCACTGTCCCAGGCTCTAGCTGAAAAACATCAACATATAACATTATACTTTGTGTAAGCATCTCGTACAACTGTGTTGCTGACTGCTGTGATAATGAAATCAAAACACATGCATCCTGCATCCATGAAAGTGGATAGTAAGTAGAAAGAAGCATTTGTTGCCACATGTTAGTGATAATTGTGCAATTTCTTGGTAATTTTAGTTTGTATGAAAACGCGTAAGATTTAGGTGATTGAAACTAAACAATAAACATGGAAGATAATTTTTAGGTCAATTTTTACTTTTTCTTTTTTAATGCTGTTCTTGATATTCCACTTCACTCAAAACACACCAGTTCATAAGTTATTTCAGGGCTTTCACAATAGCCATGTCTTTGTGGTCAATCATCCTCAGAGCAGCCTGAGTCAATTCCATTCATGACTTCCTTAGCCAGGCATATATCTCTGATCCTTTTTCAGGACAAGACATGCACTACTACATGTATGCTGTGCCTGGCTCAAGATTCCTATATGTAGCCAGGCTGCCCTACCGACACTGGCAAAATGAATGCTTCCTTGAACAAAGCTAACCAAAGGTGCCATCAACTGTCTTAATCTGAACAGGAAGGAAGCCTAGTTTTCAACATAGACAACAGCTTGTGTGAAGCTGTCACTCTCAGGGTGTGCACCACCCAGTGTTCATTTGTTAACATCAATAATGTGTGACCACAAAAGGAAACCCTTCTGAAGGTAACATCTCTCGACCATTCTAAGATCCTGTTAACAATCCACTACCTTAGTTAATATTAACAGTTCTTTTAAATAACCATGCATTAACTGTTCCTCTGATAATGCTTGTTATGTTTTCAAATAGGTTCATGTTCTTTCATCCTGATTTTTCAAAGATAAGTATCACTTGCGTTTGTTTTTATTGCAAGTGTGATGCATGTAATTTCATCTTCATGTTTTCTCAGATCGAAGATCCTGCTCGCAGCTATGCCTCATTGCCTACCATGGCCAAAACCTCTTTGAGGTTTACCGTAGTGTTCTCCGTCTGATTGTTATGTGTTGAGGATGAGCTGAATGTTACTGATATTGATACCTGATATCTAATTGTGGTCAATGTTTAGTGTAATACCGTGACATCTTCCAATGCCAAAGTTTATTTCCAACGAGCCAACGCTTATTTGCATTGCAATTACGAGCGGTAGTGTGATGTGTGGAACGTGTAGTAAGTACGGTTGGGAACCACTTACTCTGTAACCCAAAGTGGCATGTTTGGATATATGAGAATGTTCAATGTTCATCGTCTTTAGATAATAAAAGCATTGGCATACCAGGAAGTGGATTGTTCGGTAGTCGCCTAAAATGGTATCACAGCTGCAATTTTGACACCATCGTGTTCGTGATGCTCAGTCACGTCGAATGATATGCTTTTTGTATGGGTGAGGTCAATTTAGGATGTTGACCTCCGTCCAAGGTCAGGTCAGGTCATTACCTCATGATGAGATCAAGTTGCACGTTATTCAATTCGGCAGGTCTTTCTGAGTCTATTTGTGTCTTTTCCGTCTAAGATCACTGTCAGCGCCAAAATAGCTGTCTCTATATCCCCACCCCCATCGGCTTATAATGGCCAGATCACCTGACCGACCTGACGTTAGGTGACCCTTAGGAGAAATCCGAAGTTAACGACTTTTGAGAATAAGGGAGTTTGATAAGTTCTGTAAGTTTCATCTACCTGTGATAGATCTCCTTGAATTGATGGAGTTGCTATGTTACGTTTTTTAGACCGTGCAGAGGTTCACTTATGACGTCATAGGTCAGTGACCTGACCTGACCTGAAAATGAGGTTGGTGCCACAAAATTCGGCTTGAATCAAAGGTCAGGTATGCCAACTTACAACCCTCCATCACCAGCGCGCTCACCCCTACTTTACTTTGCAGCAATGGTTTGCCGCACATTAACGATAAAAGTTTTGATCTGTCCGAGATTCGAACACAGGACCTTCCGATGTATCAAAAACAATGGGTCATATATAGACGAATATCTCGAAAACGGTTGGATGGGCTTGAACTTTTCGTCCCAAAAATGGAAATAAAAATGTTGTAGCTATCTTTTGACATACTTTGTATGTGGATGCCCACACTACGAAACCTTGAAAATCGAGCGCGAAAAGTCGCATTTTAACACGCAAACCTATGGGCTAGTAGGAAAAGTCACGCCCATGCTGCCATATGACTTTGGAGGGGGCTGGGCTGTTCATGGGCACCTTGACCTCCACCTCTAACTGCTGAGTGCTGTGTGCAGCAGATGTGGGGTGAGGGATGGGTAGGCAGTACGACTCCACACAACTGTGTGCAGTTGACATTCCCCGTGGCCGGTCTCAAATGACCACACTCAGCAGTTGCTTTGTGCGCACAGCAGTTGCTGTGTGAGGTGATAGAAGGATGATGTGGGGGGGGGGGGGGCAGGTCTTAGTAAGCCTGGCATCACACATAGATGCCAGGGTAAGTTGGTAGGTTAGTAGATATGGATACAACATTTAATTGGTCATGCATAGTGAAGGAAACCCAACAGAAAAAAATGTTATACCTGGTTTTTCTAACATTGTGGACATCCATACGGTATCCATTTTAAATAGGTATATGTGTGGAATGAAATCCTGAATGTCAGTTAGTGATCTCCTTAGTGAAAAGGAGCAAGTCTTTCACCATAATGTAATGTGTTGTCGTCATCATAGTGTGCATGTGTTGTGTCACTTAGTTTAAGTTATGACTGCCATTGTAAATGGGCTGCAAGGCCTGTAGTCTTTTACTGCAAACACAGAACACAGAATGTTTGGTTGGTACTCAATTACTAACTTTGTACCTAGTTATTACTCAATACCTAACAATATAACAGCATTAATTTCTTTTTCTGTCTCGTTTGTCTTGAGTCTACTGTTATTCGTTTGACGTTCATTGACACCTGTTCTTTTTTCAGCACATCACTGAAAGTGACCTAATGCACAATGTCAAACAACTGTGCTGTTGCCACTTGCTGCAACACCTTTAACAAGCAACTTGGGATTTCATTTTTCCGGTTCCCTAAAGATTCTGCTGTTCAAGCAACATGGATACACAGATGTGCAAGACAAGATCAGTTCAATGTGGCCACATCAAGGATTTGTTCTGAACATTTTCTTGACTCAGACTATGACCCTTCCTATGTTGTCAAAGCTTCTCTGATGCCAGATGTGAAGCCATGGCTGAAAGTGGATGCAGTGCCAACACAGAAAATTCCTATCTCCAGATCGACAGTGTACGTATTATAATAAAAAGCAGGGCAATTTTCTTTGGATAGCTACAAGCATCCATTTTGAGTGGCCTTTTTAAGCAATTTATTTCTTGATGGTTGATACAGTATCCTACCTTTTCATCAAATAAATATATCAGAGCTAAAAGGTTGAAATATTGTTTCTCTTACCTGAGCTTTACATCTCACAGGGTGCAGGGAGAGAGTTCCAGAAAGACACGTCAGGATCGCCGGGACATGAAGATGCTGGCACAGGACACCATTCTCTCTGGCGATCTCGGAGAGCCATCAAGGTATTAAATGCACACACGGGACTTAGCCCTTTCCGGTGGGGGGTGGGGGGAGGGGGTGCGGTTTTGGCTGCAAGCCATCGAGGTATTATGTACATAGCTAAGTAAGCGGTGTGATCACCAAATCCAAACTTCTCTTCGCTGGAACCTTTGAGACCCGTAGTTCAAATAAGGGCTTGCTGAGCGTGCTGCATGCTCAGGTGTGCCACATGTTTGAGGGTGGAGGTTCCTGTATGAATCTAAATTATAATTCAATGGCAAATTAACCCTCGCCGCCCGCCGGACCTATTGGTTTCTACATAGGTACAGTCCACAGCAGAAGTAATGTGCGGTTTCAGTCATGGGTATGTTCTGCTTCTGAAGCTTAGGAACGATTAGCCAGACTACAATGAAACTTTGAATGTAGCTTACATGTATCGCTAACCATGCAGCTGCAAGTTTATCAATTGACGTCTTATTTTCGATCACTCCGCATTAAGAAATGGCCAGTCAAAGCCATCCGTTGACATTGGTAAAACCGCACATTACTTTAGGCAGTGAGCTGTACGCGCCGGCCGAAGGGGGGGGGGTTGGTACGACTTCGCCGTTTCGCCCTGATGGGGCCAGAGCCTCGCGGAAAAAACGGGCGTGTGCGCCGTTACGAGACGCAGCAACTGGCAGCCGATTTTAAGGTCTCAGGTCAACCGGTGACCTCTCAGATCAAGTGGCCAAAGGTACCGGTTCGGTATCTTTGCAAAAAAAGGCCGTAGAGCGATTTTGGCGTCATCGTGCTCGCCTCGCTCAGGCGCGTCGGATGGTATACTTTTTATTCGGATGAGGTCAACTTTTGTTGTTGACCTCGGGTCAAAGTCAGTTCAGAGCCCCCCAGGCAACGGAATTGATCGAAGAAGGTCATGTCGCATATCATTCGATTCGGCAGTTCTTCCGAGTCCATTGGTGGCTTTCCCTACTCGCTAGCTTAATTCGATCAGGAGTTATTGACAAAAACTCTAATAACCCAAGTGACGTCATAAATGACATCACGCAAGGTCAACAATGCAAAAATGAAGCATTGAATCTTGCAAGGAGTGCATGAAATCACGATTCCGTGTGGTTGAGATAGTTTGAGATCGTTCCCGGCGCCAAAATAGCAGTTTTCATGTTTTCCCGTTGACTTACAATGGTGAGGTCACGTGACCGACCTGACCTCATGTGACATAGGAGAAATCCGAGATATACAAGTTGTGAGACCTCTGGAGAGTACTAGGTCCTGTAAGTTTCTTTTCCCTGTGAAAGCTCCTCTGACACTGAGGACGTTGCTATGTTGCGACATCTGAAGACCGTGCAGGGGTTCACTTATGACGTTATAGGTCAGTGACCTGACCCGACCCGAAAATGCGGTTGGTGTCACAGTATCTGGTTTGAATCAAAGGTCAGATATGCCGAGTTTCAGCTCTCTATCGCCAGCGTGTTTGGAGCTATCGCGAAAAAAGAAAACTGTGTGGGCGGCACCTGCCCCCCCCCCTCGCGAGATTTATAGGGGAATTAAAAGTTCTGGCCATCAGGTCACGCCTAAAACATTTTGTTGTATGGGTTAGCAGATTGTATGCTGATGGCTATGCCTTTGTGGATAACTTTGTTCCTGATTTTATACTAAGCTTGATATGCAATGTTTTGTTCTTTTCAGCGGGCCGGTGTCACCGCAGCTGCTGCTGAGTGAGGGCTGCGCTGCCACCAGAGGCACACCTGGTGGCTCACGACCTGCAACTCTTCGAGAGGAGGTGAGGAGGCTCACCCTGCTGAATAAGCGCCTCAAGCTCCAGCATGAGAGACACCGTCGGCTGTGGCGGCGTGAACGCCAGCTGCTGCTGCGGAGGCTCCGAGCGGCTGAAGTAAAGGCAGCGAAGCTGGATAAGCTGCTGCATCGCGGTGTCCTCACCACGAAGCAAGTATCCGCTGCAGAGTCGGGACATCGCGTACGCTGGACTCCCGAAGATGTATCCCGGGCGCGAGTTTCCTAAGTGTGGAACTATTCATACCGTCGCCCGTTCGAGTGACGTCATCACTCGGCGCTGGCGGCTAGGTGCATGGATTGGCGGGTCCTTAAGTTGGCGAAGAGGCGGAGCCAGTTATCCTGCGTAAGTATTTAGTCAGTCTTAATTTAACGAGTTCCCTAGCTAGAGAAAAAGTAACTTGTTCTACGTGAATATATAACCGGTGTTATTTCAGTTATCGTTTGTGCATTCGCCCACCTTGGAAGCATATCTCCTACGAGGTGCTTGAGTTTTGACGGTGTGGTTTGTGCACTGCGTTTCGCTTCAGCATTGAGCAAATGTCTTCAGCATTACGGCTGGTGATACTGCCTATCGGCATTGAATGATGTTTGACACCAATAGGACATAAATTAGCAGGTAGTGCGAATTTATTATTAGCAGATCATTTATTAGCGAGACTATTAGCAGATTTATTAGCGGATTTATTTATTTTATTAACAGGTAGTGCGGAACTATAGTGCGGATAGTGAGTGACGCCATCTGGACCGATGCTGGAGATGGTAGCGCCACCTGCCGCCACTTAACTGCTCGCTACTTGTAACAGTGCCTGGCTGGTGTTTTGTGTTGATTGTTTGAAGCGTAGTGTAGTACCTTATGACGCATAATATAAGGTCACTTTGCAAAATGTGAGGAGCATGGACGAATTAATTTGTGAGACATTGACGCCTTAGTAATACATAATTGTTCCCAACACAAGCTATGCATTAGCTTTTAATGTAATTGCTCAACTTCCCATATAACACCAGGGGCGCTAGTGCCGCGCGCCGCTAGCCTATAATCGTGCAGCGATTGGTCAGCCGACTGTGAGCTATGACGTCACAGCCTGTAACGTCATCTCGGCGAAGCTTGCGCCAATCATAGACCTTAGGTATGGGCAGTTCCACACTTAGGAAACTCGCCGGCCTGGGACTCCGCTGCAGAGGCCGCAGGGCCTACGAGTACGTCAGGGACGTCCTGCACCTGCCGCTGCCGTCGGCCGCCACCCTGGCTCGCTGGACTCGCGGGTTTCGTGTGACACCGGGAGTCATGGTGGCGGCGCTGGCCGTCCTCAAGGCGGCTGTCCAAGGGATGGACTGCTTGCAACGCCTGTGTGTCGTCTCCTTCGATGAGATGTCCCTGGACGGGCGCTATTGCTACGACTCGGCCATGGATCAGATCCTCCAAGGATCCAAGCTGCAGCTGCTCATGGTTCGAGGGCTCTGTGGGCCGTGGAAGCAGCCGCTGTTTTATGAGCTGGACACGGCGATGACTCTCGAGAAGTTCGCCGATGTCGTCTCTCTGCTGGAGTCCCTGGGCCTAACCGTGGTGGCGGTCGTCAGCGACATGGGCTCATCGAACGAGGTGATGTGGCGCACGGCTGGTGTCTCCAGCACCCGACCCTGGATCGCCAACCCCGCCGACCAGACAAGGTAATAACTGCTTGAACATTGATTCCGCTTTATCACTTGACATTTTTTACAGCTCTGCCATATGCTGTGATGTGACCGCTAATTAAATTTTGAGCAGTACTGTACTGGGTGTCACTAATGTTGTGGGTTAGACTCCCACCCCTGACAGAGTTAACTGTAAGATAGGTGTTGTAGGGGGCAGATCGTCAGGTGGCCCAGTTAGTGACACCTCTGTTCTTAGTTATATATTGTATTGGTATAATATTGGTACAGTATTGCTTTTGCATTGATAGTTTCTAAACATATTTTTAAACATGACGCGAATTTTTTTGTGATTGTGGTATAACAAATGTCATTTTATGCAAACAGGTATGGTGACTGTCTGCAATATCAGCCTTATTGGATAGTGAATAGCACGATGGGTCATTCTAGTTCCCTACCTAGTCCTTCGTTCTAGCCCTGGGACCTGGTTCCAAATCGCCGTAAACATCTACTTAGGTCCAGCAGACGCAATGCTCATTATCCCTGTGTTCCTCCCCTACCCTTTCCTTATATCCTAGACGAATCTGGGTGTTCGCCGACACGCCGCACCTGGTTAAGCTGATGCGGGTCCACACTGTGTCGGAGGACGGTGGGTTCTTGATACCCAACGGACGAGGTGGGAAGGCTCTCTTGAGCCGAAACACCTTCAAAGAACTGATGGAGCTGGACGACGCCGAACTACGGATCAGTCACAAACTAACAAGCCTGCACCTCACGGTATATTCTATTTTACGTTGTTTTAATCACCATCCATGTTGTTTTGCCTTTGCCAATGACTGTTATTGAATTAGGTGGAAGGTCTACGCACAGGTGTGATGTTCTTACATGTTTGGGTGTGACCAGGGGGTGTCGAAGTCTAGTAGGAAAATCTGGCAAATTCCCTGCGTGACGTCACGTCGGGGATGACCGACGGCACCTTGCACTGAAAGATACGGCAGAACGGCTATTTTTGAAAAATGATTAAAAATACTTTTGTGCTGTTATGACGCATAAAACGCTTATCAGCATGTTCCTCATCATGTGATAAAGGCATATCCGTGGTCGAAAATAGCTGAGCCCCTCCCAATCACCAACCACCGACCTCATAAGCAAAGGATGTAAGCGTAATCCTTAAGGGCGACTTTCCTATACATATCCGTACATATGCGTCCTTATGGAAATCGGTAGTGTGGCGATTGGCGACGTGCGCGACATCTGTGTGGCGACCAAGTGGCGACACCTGGTGGCTGCTTTTCTGCTGTATGTAGGCATTGGGGTTTTGCCAGATGTGGTTCCTACTGCTACACCACTATGTTGACCCAATACTAGAAAAGTTATTTTGCTAGTAAAAGGCAAGAAAATTGAAAGTTGATTTATAAAATTGCTTATAAATGATAACGAGATAATAATAAAGAAATTTTGATTGAATAATTATTTAAATAATCAACCGTGAAACTATATTCTGGTAGGTTTAGTAGAAATAAGTCCGTGCAACCTTGTATTTAGGGCCTTGGGTGTGACCCTCCTCATTTTGACAGGATTAATAGGCACGTTTAAATTGACCTAACATGTACTGCACGTACTTTTTGTTTTTGCCCTCTAACGTTTAAAGACTCAATCAAAACTCAGAAAGCTATTGCAAGTGCTTTGCACAATATTGTATTTATACATGTGTCACGCTTTTCGTTATTGGCAAAAAATGACAGTAGTCGGCGCGCCCTGAAGCCCCAATAAACAACAACAACGAAGGCAAACCTAACAAGGTGCCTCTATTTTACAGGGCACCGGGCAGGTGAGCCAGCGCGTCCGACTGGCTACCCAGCTGTTTTCCCGCACGGTTGGGACAGCCATCAAGCAGTACCTGCCACGCCGCCAGGCTCAGGCGGAGGCTGTGCTCACCGTAAACGGCTGGTTCGACGTCCTCAACAGCCGCTCCCAGTTCGACGGTGCGCTCGAGCGGTGTGCCTTCGGCAGGACACCAGAGGCAAAGGCGGCGCAAGATGACGCACTGGAGAGGATGGAGTCGCTGATCTCCGAAAGCCGAAAGTTCAACCCCAAGAATCCTAACACCCCGAGGAAGATGCTTCCTTTCCAGCGCGGCATCCTGCGCACCACGGCGTCCCTGCGCGGGCTCTACAGTGACCTGCTGCGCACCACGCCGGAGCTCAAGTACATATTCACGTCCCATCTGAACCAAGATTGTGTCGAGAATTGTTTCTCCCAGCTTCGGAGCATGGGAGGCGCCAACAACGCGCCAAACGCCGTGGAGATACGGTCTCGACTTAAAGTCCTGCTCATGGCGCCCTCTCCGATGGTGGCTGTGAGGACCGACGGGCGTGCCGTCCTTCAACTGGAGTCGGACACCGGATTCGTCTCCACCGGACGTGTGCTGAAGCAGCCCGACAACCTGTCCAATCAGGCCCTGGAGGGTCTGCCCATTCAGGTAATTATGTCTAAATTTTACCGGACTGATATCCTGACACTGAGATCATGAATGGAGAGTAGACACTCGTCCCAATAATAACTGTGCAACGTACATTGACCGTGTATTGACATGCATTTTATGTCTCAAGTTTGTTGGCTTGTGTGCTTAACTTATAATTGAGATTATTAGCATAAATTATGTTCGATTTATAATGATTAATGAGCACATGCGCCTGTGTTCACAGTTCGAGGATTCCACCGCGACGCTGGTGGCGGAGGAGGCTGACCAGATCGGGCAGGCGGCCGACGAGGTGGGGCTGGAGGAGCGAGGAGACGCGGCGGCGGCGGCCACTGCGCCGTCTCAGTCCACCTTCCCGGACCCGGCGGCTGAGGTGGCGCCGGGCTTCAGCTGCAGCCAACATTCCCCTGTGCTCGAAAGGGATGCACTGGCTTTCGTGGCCGGGTATGTCGCGGCGCGCTGCCAGGATTTGCACCCCGATCTGGGACGGCCGTCCAGGGAAGCACCACCCAGCTCCGTGCCCTCCAGCTGGATCCGGGCTGTCAGCCGCGGAAGCCTAATGGTGCCGTTACCCGCGTGGATGGCAGTTGTGGAGCAGTTTGAATCGTCATTTCGGCTTGCCATGGGTGCGTCAGCGGACCGGGACCCGGGTGTCGTGGACAGACTGCTGACGGACCTCCGTTTGAAGCAGCCGAACCTCCACCCACGGATAGCGCGGAAGCTGGTAACCACCCGCCTCCATCTCCATATCCGCAACCTGAATCGCGCTATGGCCGGAGCCGCTGCAGAACGACTTGCAGCTAAGCAGGTGCAACAACACGCCGGACGTACCAGCAGATGCTGACAGGCGTGACAGCTGAGCGTGCCGAACTGATCACTGACGGCGACCGCTATGCTGGTGGCGCTGTGCGCCGGCGCCGCGGTAGTGACGCGGCGTAGTCGGTGGTACGGTGTTTGGTCCATGTGGTGTCGAGGATGCTGTTGTTTCTGGTAGATGTGTGCGTTGGGGGTGGGATGTGGGTAGTTGTATCGCCAATGCTGATAGATGTTTTGTGTCAGGGACGCAGCGGGATAGCGTTTTTTTATATGGACTGCTTTGTAGTATTTTTGGCCGTGGTCAAATTGTGGCCGTTGGGCTGTGAATACCAGGGGTAGCCAGTAACAGTTGGTAGCATTAGGCCAAATGGGCGCTCAAAAACTACTACCCCATAGGGTTTCCATGTTAAATCGACCTTTTTCAAGCGAGCCTCACGCGTAAGCTAAAAGATAAAGTGCCAATATTATTGTGGGGAAAGGTAGCCTCGAGCTTCCTCTACAACCTTTTTATCTAGCGTTTTTCGATGCGGAGGCCATAACAGGTCCAAAATGCATTGGGCGCTGCCCGAGGTACCAAAAGCCCCTCCATGAGAGCACAAGTTCCTGCGCATGCGCATATCGCCTCAACCCTGTACAGGCGTAAATTGCTGATACTGCTCACGGACTCGATCAGCCAATCAGCATCACCGATTACACTCAATAGATGTCGCTAGCATCACGTAAATCCTGCTTGCGAACACATTTAAAGAATGAAACAGCTGCGCCATTTCCGCCTTCCATTGATTCCTTCCATTTTAGTATCAACTATACGCTTTTCAACTAACTTTAGACTAAGTTTTAAACTACGATTAGTATGTTATTTCTGGTACATATAATTTAAAAATAACTGCTTTATGAATTTGGCTTTACTCTTCAGAATAGAATGCTCTATTTTTTCCATATTCAAAAAATATATCACCTACCATGTAACTCATCCAGGTAAAATGGGCGCTTTCCGCGTCGTTGGTGTACCCGTTGTTCTATATACCCTGGTGAATACTACCGATAGCTGACGGTCGTTAGCCTGATCGAGCGGCCTCCAGACCACGGCCGCACACTTAGTGCCTGATATGGTAGCGTCCACGCGCCAGAGATGTGTGGTGGTACCGTTATTCGGCGAGCGAGTCCTGTATGTTAAGTTTGGGCACCAGGATGTCCCGACGTTGGATCCTGTGTGCTGTTCTGGAA